CAAGTTGCCCAGGCGGGTCTCGAACCCGCGGGCTCAGGCAGTCCACTCACCTCAGCCTCCCAAAGCGTGGGATTACAGGCTGAGTCACCGAGCCTGGCTAGTGTTTATATTCTTAAACGCTAGTCCTAACTGAGCCGTGCAGAGAATTGTGACAACTTTTACTTCCTGGAGTTCATTTGTTCTTAGTTTGTTTGTTTTTTTGTGCGTTTTTTTTTTTTTTTGAGTCGGACTCTTTCTCCATCGCCCACGCTGGAGTCCAGTGGCACGCTCATGGCCACCCAGGGTCGACCTGCTGGACTCCGATGATCCTTCCACCTCAGCCTTCCAAGTAGCCGGAACTACAGGCGTATACTACCATGCCTGGCTGATTTTTTATTTTTCTATTGTAGAGACGAGGTCTCGCCAAGTTGCTTAGACTGGTTCTGAACCCACGGGCTCAGGTAATCCACTCGCCTCAGCCTCCCAAAGTGCTCCCGGAGTGCTGGGCTCCAGCGATCCTTCCGCCTCAAGTAGCCGGAACTACAGGCATGCGCTACTTGGAAGGCTGAGCCACCGAACCCGGCTGTAAATGTCTATTTTCATTTGGATGAAATTCAGCACTGGAAATCACTTCCCTTAGGAATTTTGACATTACCACATTGTTTTCTGGACCTCAGGCTGCTGTTGAGAAACCTGAAATCCTTCTGATTCTCTGTCATTTCTGGCCTGTCTTCCCCACTGAAGACGTGCAGGATTTTCTCATTCACTCCAGCAATGCTGCGCTTCTAAGTGGTGTTTCTGGGGTGGCCCTGCTTCCATCCACTGAGGGCGGTGATCCTTTCCATGTAAACTTTCTGCCCTTTGGCTCTAGGACATTTTCTCTATTATTGTTTGGTTTCTACCTTCAGTGTTTTATTTTCCTCTTTGTGGAATACTTGATAATCATTTTGGACATCATAGATTGGTCTTCTAATTTTCTTATCTTTTTGTCAGAATTTCCATCTTTTGTGGGGTTTTTTTGTTCTGCTTTTTGACAGGCTTCCTCAATTTTACCTTCCAACTCCTCTATTGAAGTTAAACAAATTTTTTTAAAAATTAGCTTTATTGAAATATAATGTGTATAGAATAAAGTTCACCAATTTTAAGTATGAAATATGATCAGTTTTGACAAATTTATACAATTTTGACTATCCTCAGATCAAGAAAAAAATCACATTTTCTTTATCCCCGAAAGTTCTCCCTTACCTCTTTGTGCTTAATTCCCTCCCTACCGCCACCCCGGGCAACCCCGATCTGCTTCCTGCCACTCAGAGATTGCCTCTCCAGGACTTCCTGTGGTGGGAATGATACAGGACATTCTCTTGGTATCAGACTTCTTTCACTGGAGTAGTAGCTTTGGTTCCCTGTTCATTGCACGTGTCAGTAGCTCCTTGGTGTTGCTGAGTAGGGTCCTGTGGGGTGATACACCGTAATTCGTTCCTCTCTTCCTCATTCTTGAGCACTGAGCTGTTTTCAGTTCTGGACTAAAGCCACTGTGAACATTCTGGTGCAAGTCTTTGTGTGGGTATATTTGCAGTTCGTGTTTCTTGTGGAAATGTTTGGAAATGTTTTCACTAGGGCGGATGCCTAGGAGTGGAGATTGCTGGGTGTATGCTAAATGTGTATTTACCTTTATGAGAAGCTGCAAGACCACTTTCTAAGTGATCGTTCTGTTGGTGTTCCCACAGCCATGCTTGTGGGCCTTACTGCACTGGTTGGGCTCTTAGCACAATGTTCAGCCACATCTGTGAGGGACGTCCTGGCCTTGGACTCTGTCTTGGGGTCACCATTCAGTATGGTATTAGCAGCTGGTGTTTTGAGATGGCCTTTATCAGGTTGAAGAATTTTTTGCCCATTCCTGGTTTGATGTAAGAGTCTTTTCATAAATGTAATCTAAATTGTTGTCAGGTGTTTTTCTGAATCTTTAAGATGATGTTGTCATTGATCTAATTAAGGACATCGATTAGTTTTTTATTCTTATTTTATTTATTTATTTTTAAGACAGGTTCTCAGTCTGTCGCCCAGGTTGGAGTGCAGTAGTGTGATCACAGCTCACCGCAACTTCGAACTTGTGGGCTTAAGCAATCCTCCCACCTCAGCCTCCTGAAGTGCTGGGATTATAGGCATGAGCTACCCTGCCCTGGACCTCAAAGGCCAAGTGTGAGGACAGCTGAAGAGCCACAATAGTAACAAAGCTGCCAGGCACAGTGGCCGAAGCCTGTTAATCCCAGCACTTGGGGAGGCCGAGGAGAGTGGACTGCCTGA